GGCTTATGCTCTACTGCTCTGACTCCCAGTGCATGCTGCACACCTATCCTGTGTGCTTTGGCAGCAGGAGCTGCACCACCATTGTTTGAATAGTGGATTATATAGTGTTTGTTCTGGGCAGTCACCTCATGCATCTCGGGCAACGCTCTCCCTTTCTCCCAGATTAATCTCCACCCCCTCAGCGATACGCTGGAGGCCCTTTGTCCCGGCAGGGAAGGTGCCAAGTGCTTTCATACATCAGGCTATGAGCCCACCCATGCACTGGAGATCCCCTCTGCAGGGGCGATCCTCCCTGGGTGGCACTCGCCGACTTTGAGCGAGACTTTTAAGATGGGTCACACAGGAAACACACCACAGAGGCAAGCAAATGATGTTATGCTGCCTCCCCTCCAAAGTGCCTAACAATTTGCTTGCCCACTCCCAGAACTAATTAACAAGGTAACTAATTTCACCTTCTTTAGTCATCTTGGCTCTCTTTCTAGCCACTGAAGAGAAGCAGATATACCCTGAGAACAACTGGTCCTACCTACCTTAGGTACTTGCGTAGGAAGGTGAATCATTCTCTGGAGATGCGTTTCTCTCCAGTGATTACAGAGAAAATCCAGATGACTGACTTGGACTTGGCACCAAACTTTTAGACAACAAGAATTAAATGAAATAAGTCCAACCTAAGGAGAGGGGCTCCTGGAATCTAATACAAGCCAGCTAATAACTGCATGGCGTGCACTGCGAGACCCCCAGTCTGGCTCTTTCCCATTTATCTAAAACATAGACAGCAGCTTTTATTTTTCGCAAGTGCAAAGTGACTTACAAGACGGTGCTTTCTGCTGTTGAAAAGATGCTTCATTGCAGTTTGGAACTGCTGCTGATCAAGCTGTTGAAATTCGGATAGTAGTTGCCTAGGCTGATATAAAAGGTTCTTCAGGTAACTTTTTATGGACATCTGAAGTATAGAAAAGTATGGGTAATATACATAAAACTTGTACTATTGTACCAGGGGAGTCTTTTACTCCCTGAAAATCTCTGCTTAAGGAGAGAAAAGTGCTTAGCTCCTGTATTGTCTGTGTTGTCAATGACTAGAATAACTATACTCAACACAAACTGTAAACAAAAATAATCTAAATGCAATGCTGAAAGACAATAATTTTTAAATCCTATTCTTGGCTTCATGAGCGAGTCCTCTCCAATGAGCCATTTAACAAAAATGCCTCAGTTTCTCACTTCATAAAACAAAAGTAATAATGCTTTTCTGCTTCACACAGCAGAGCTGTGAAAATGCGCCTTTTAAAGAGCTCAGAAAAATCAGGTACCGTGTGCATATTATTATTACTTAAAAAAAGGAAGGAAACGTGCAATTAGATGGGAGGAAAAGCCTGTACCAGGTCATAAGGCAAAAATATTCCCTCTCACATCAAACTGTATTACCAGTTAACAATCTCGTGCCTGTTTTGAAAATCTAAGGGGAATTATAACATTGGAACAGAAAGCACTGTAAGGCTCATTAGCACTAGACTGGAGTGAAATCCCTCTAATTCCTGACAGAATTATTTCAGAATTGTTTTGGAATTTGAATTGAAACTGTTCTTTGTTGTCGTTGGTTAGCTTGCATTGCCACCAACAAATACTCGCATAGTTAGGTCCTTGTTGTCTAGGGGGTCCAGGCCTGCTTACAGCCTTAAACTGTTACTAAATCTAATCAAATGGGAAGAGGCAGTGTTAGTCTCATGTAGATTTGGATGAGCTGTGACAGTGAAACGGAGCTTGGGAAAAGGTTTGAGCGCTGTGGAGCTGCATGGCTGTCAGCTCTTGGGAATGCCTGAGGCTCAGAGGCCGCACATTTGACATTTTCCTTTTTCAGAGTGTGTGTCTGCGTGTAGGGAGGAGGGAGGGGGTCAGGTTTTGATTAGCAGGCTACAGCTCCACTTAAACCAGCTCATAACTAATCATAATGACCAGGGATAAAGAATGACGACTTTTTCCTGTATCACTTCCACGTTGACAATTTACAAAAACAGAGTTCAGAGGAGCCTTAAAAGGTGGATGCATTTTGTAGGATGCTCTGGAGCCTCTCATTCCATCAGAAGCAGTGCAAACTACAGCCACAGTCAAAATCTGGGAGAAACCTGCTATTTTGTGGAGAAACAGCATGTGTATACATGCGGTTCAGAAACAATTGCTGAGCCTGAAAACTCCTAATTTCTGCTTTCCATCAGAGGAAAAGCAAAAAGATCTTCTTACTATTTCTGCCTTGCATACTCCTGCAATCTTAGGGGAAAAAAACCAACCAAAAAACCCTATTCCTATTTCCTACTTATCTGCTACACTGTAGATCTGCTAGTTATCTCTATTATTGACAACCTAGTTTTGGCTACAAAGATTGGTTGCTTTTTTAATTCCTTTTTAAATAAAAATTTTCATGCATTTTAAATGGCACAAACCTGTAGGCTGCTAAGAGTAAACGTAACTTCCTGGGCATGAAAATACGCCATGACTTTTGTAAGCATATCTGCTGTCCAGACATTAGAACTGTAACAGAAAACAGGACCAAAAATGCCAGTAAAATAATATAACATGTAAAATAGCAGATTACAAGACAAAACAAGAATAAGAAAAGCAAACACTGTTACTAACACCATAATGACATGAGTATTCAGCTTCCTGGCCTAACAAGACTAATTGCCGACCTATTTAATGCAATGAAAACACATGGTTCAATGAGGAACGGAATGAATTAGTTATGGGGTTTTTAATCTAACTCCACAACCACCCACAATAAACTCAATTTTCCAACGTGTTGCCATTAGTACCATCTCCAGGCATGAGACAAGCTGTGCTGTGGCTAGTCTGGAGCTATAGGTGTGCTTCCTGGCACCCCATTATGCCTGTTCTGATCCGCTTGTAGAAAGAAAGTATATTGACTAATGTCTGCTGCCTTTCCCTCAGCAGAGTCATTAATGTCAGTGTGTCTTCTTTACGCCATTGATTTTCTCAAAATATGTACGAGTGGAATTGCCTTTGAGGCTTATATCACTCTTTCAAATTTAGACAAAATTAGCAAATAATTCAAAAGTCGGCAGGAGCTGGAGGAAGTGGGATGGATGGGGGACGGAGCAGGACTGAAAGAGGAAGATGGACAGAAAGCTGGAACTGCACCTAGTTTCCTTAAGAAGCCATTCTGAAACATATGAACAAAGTTAATTATCAAAACTTTTGAAAACTGCAGCAGATATTTATTCTCAGACTCATTCTATGCATGTTTTTTGCTTTACCATGAAAAACAGCTTTTCCCTTGTTAAGAGGAAATGCTCTCACAGGAGATCTAAATCAAAGTAGTCGTATGTGCCAATTTCATTCTATCCATAATGTTCCAGTTTCTGTGGAAATGAAACAGATCATATCTGAAGTGCAAGATAGTACCAAAAAATCAAGATGGTGAGAGTAATACATTACCTCTGAAAATGAAGTATATCAAGGAGGGCTACATATGAAAAATGGAACAGAAAAAGTTATAGTGAGATACTGAGTTTCAATTCCTTTTAGAAGCATAAGTGGGAACAATTTTGTACGTTACCATTCAGATATTTCCCAGTTATTACTTCTTCCTAAGGAAAAAATGATAACTATATGTAATAAATGATTATTTTTAGATTATAATATAAAATGTTAGTAGAGAGATCAAATAAAAATACTAACCGCAGCTTTGTGTAATAATGGAGGCAAATCTGTAAAAGATTATCCTGTTATTAAAAGTTGATTTAATGTTTTACCATTCAACTGTCTTATACAAAAATACTTGTATTGTATGCAGTGATCAAAACTAAAAATACACATATAATTTATTTATAAGCATTTAATGCAGTTTTGATTAAATGTATTTACAGAAAAACAGTGAAAATAAAAGGCTATTAAATAATAAGCAATCTTGGTTAAATTCTTTGCTGGCATAGCTCCACGAAGTCAAGAGAGCACAGAGTATGGTCCTAGTTACGGAAGAGTACTGCATCTATTTTACTACACATAGCTTTTTCCATCCACACAAAATATATCCCTCATACAGGAGTTCTGGTCTTACCTTCAGAGGTCTGACTGTGTGTAATCTCAGCATGATTCATTGATATCAATAAGAAACATATCTTCAAAAGTCTGGACATTTCTTCTAGTGTTTATTAGAATGAGAAGATATTTTGATTGAAAAGGAAAACAAAAAGAACTGAGTCAAAAGGCAATCTTCACCCAAAACTTTCATAGCTATAAATCAGAGACAGCCTAAGCTATGGAGCACAGCTAGAGATCAGAATGATCTAAAAGTGCTTGCTCCCAAGCTTTTAATTTAGATTTTTTTCAAGGATAGAGATATATTTTATGCAAATACAAGTCCACCAAGTGTGTACATGCAGCTAGATTTATTCTCCTTTTAGCAAGTAGCTCTTTTAATTTTCTTCCTAGTAGCACCGTTTATTTACTAAGCCCCATTCCACCTAAATATGACTTAAATGCAGTTTAGTTAAAAAAACCCCAACCAACCAAACTCCTTTTAAACTCAGATAAAATAGAAAAGAAAGAGAGGGAGTGAAAACGGAAACAGTAAAGAAACTTCAAGCAAACCCTAGGCCTTTTCTAGCTTGTTAAGTTGCCTGCACTATTACTGCAGACCAGGTCTGGGACCCTCCATTTGCAGATCTCTGAACTCAAGCGGTGGGAGGGTCTGGCCCTCTCGCTTGCCCCATGTCAGTGCAGGGTGCTCCAGGCAGGGAGGGTGAAGGAGTGCTCCCCTCCCCTGCTGCCGTCACTCTGCAAAAAAGAGGGAAAATGTCCTTGTGCCCTTCTGTTTCAGAAGGAAAGAGACACATTTGGGAAACGGGGTTCAAGACCGTGCCACTTCATTCAGATGGATCAAAGCACTAGTCTTTGTACTCGTGAGAAGTACACCATCGATTTTTCACCATCAGCTAGGACACAGTTTCTATAGAAATACGTGTTTTACTGGCTTTTGCTATCCCTGCTGCCCTGTGCTATGCGGCATAAAGATCACTGAAAGATAAGTTAGCTGGAAGGGCAATAATGGGATACCTGGAGCTTTTCACCAGGGTGTCACTGATTCTTGTCAGAAAAGACTGACAGTCTCACAGTTGTCCTATATGAAATGAATTTGTTACTTTCGGTCTAGTTCCTGAAGGACAAGGGTACACATAGCAATAATGCCCAGCCTGAGAAGCAGCAGGGACGGAAAGGGAGCAGAGACTCAGCGGGTCTCACCCACACAGGTGTTTCTGCAGCCACGTCCCCTCCGCAGCGCCGGGGACCATTAGCTGCTTTAATCCACGTTGCACCAAGTTTACTGCAGAGAGGATTTTCTGCCTCTGCGCTCTCAGCCTGGCCCCCTGCCCAGCCGTGACAGTCACCATCCCCACAGGTAAAACAATTAATTAATCTGCGATATTAGATGATGCCCTGCTTTAAAGATTGCAGCTTCTTACATTGGGATTAGCCCATGATTTTAACAAATGACACAGAGGGCCCCGTTGGCCAACTTTGCTCTGACCCTGAGATGACTCTGTTAGGTTTTCTCTCCCTTTCCTTCATTTCAAGGGTTTATCTGCAGCCACACTTAATTTCTGCATTTCTTTTTGTTGTTGAATTTGCACCCTTTTTTTTTTTTTTTTTTTTTTTTTTTAATTTCTAATCTCTGCCACGGCTTGAGTTACAGATCTGAACGTTTGATAAATATGAACACCTTTTTCAGATTGTTTAATCTCACCTATCAGCAAGGTACTCTCTTATGAAAATGTCTTTCAACAGCCTCTAGCAACCTTCAGTCTATTGCGAATACTTAACTCCAGTCTTGTAACAGAAGTGACTCAAACTGACGGATGATGAAAAATTTAAACACTAGACTTTAAGAAGCTATTGCCTCTGTCCTGTTCTTGAAAACCCTTTTCAGCTATTCTTTTGGGAGCGCCACAGTACATGTCTCTCATTCAGACGTATCCGGTTTCCTAGACAATGAACTTTGTGTTTGTTTCTGCCTTTGCCGTATTAATTTTGCAGTAAGGTTTGATTACTCTGCATAGCTTAAAACATGCTACCAATGTCAATCCTGATTTGTTTATTCCAACTCACTTCGATCGGTGAGTGTATTTTAATTAAAGCATGCTAAATTAATATATAAGGAGATTAAATGCTAAGGAAAGCGCTGTTTTATCCTGACTAACTCCAACACACAATTAGCAGGTACAGAAAAAGTCTGTTGTGAAATAGCCCTGCTTGATAAGGCAATTTGCGGGACGAAATAGTTCCTTTTGTCAGTGAAACTAGTCTGTTTGCAGAAGTTCACTGCAGCGTTTGGACCACTCCAAATCACCCTGTGGGGATCTCTGCAGATCCCATCCAGCATTTCCCCAGAGATCGTTCCTTGCACCACGGCAGCATATGCTGTGATCAGATCTCTGAGATGTCACCTTTGCAGGACTCTCCGGCTACAAGGAGCTCCCAGATTGCCTTCTCCCCTTGCTCCCCAAACAGCCGCTCTTCCAGGTAAAGAAATCCTAGACATTTTATCAGTCACTCCAATGCAGCTGCTGCCTTTCTGAAGCTTGATAACCAGAAAGCTAACTTCATAATCACAAGTCTTGCGGATAAGCCCATGCACCGCCAGCACCCGTCCTCCCCCTTGCAGCCAGGCTCTCAGCACCTCTGCTAAAAAGCTCTGTATGCAGTGAGGGAACCCTCGAGGAGTTCAGGCTGGCAAGGGAGGGTGGGGAGTAAGGGGAGGGCAGAAGAGAAGAAAGAGATGTGGGCTTCTTGGGGCATCTATGGGGAAAGTCAGGACCCCACGGCACTTTACCTGTCTCTGCCGTGTGCGCCTCCTTCCCCACACTCGCAGTGCAATGAGCTGGGCGGCTCCAGCCAGGGACCCTGAGAGCAGGGGGCAGGGACTGGGGCCAGCACCGCCTCGCAGCCTCAGGTGTCTGCCCAGCAGCACCCAGCCTTCAGCCAGAAGGGAGGGGAAAAGGCTCCTCTGCTGGGGAGCTCAGAGGGTGAGGGACTGCCATAGCAGGCAGAAGAGGATGCTTCCCCTCCCGAGATGAAGAGAGCTCAACAACTTGCGTGGGGACAACACACAGGGCCAGGCTGGTGCTGCCCAGCACCCTGCTCCCCCCACCTCCCCACCCCCAGCACGGGCAGGTGGCCCTGGGCTCCTCAGAGCAGCATACGAACCGACTGTACCTGGGATCACCCAGCAAAAGGGGGCTGTGGTTTCTGTGAGATGAAGTTGCTCCAACTTTGTGTTGAAAGTTTCCGACTAAATCATTCCCTTGCACATCTTTTTCCTGTGATGCAACACATCCAGTGCCACCTTGACAGAACAGATAGTTTAGTTACTCTCCAGGGCAAAACACTGCACATTAGTGAGACCACTGAGGTGCGACTTGCACACCGTCACCCGCAGCAGGATAGGGACAATGGAGGGACAAGGCAGGTTCCCCAAGTCCAGGAGTAATGAATTTGGACGTTGGACTTGCAACAAACACTTGTCATCCCCTTTGACGACATCTTAAAGTATTTCAGGCAATTTAATCAACTACTGGAGTCAAGAGTTTCTTTGCACGGGATGCGTGAGAGACATTAACTACAACAAATGCACTCTCGAGGTCCGGAAAGAGAAAGAAGTCCTTCCCTGACACAATGAGCCACGCTGCACCCCTTCCTTTGCAAGGATCTCCGATTTTAGAAGTACGGGTGTAGGTAGAGTCCCTCAGGGCTACTCTGTATGTTCAACAGGACTAAGCAGGTTTTTGACCCTGTTGAACATGGTCCCTTAGAATTTAAGCTTACTCTGTTCATAGCTTTTCCCTACTATTGCTCATGTTTTAATAAATGTTTTAATTCCCCATCTCAAGTGTAAGAATACTTGTTTAAATAGAAGGAACAAAATAGGAAATCATAAAAAAAAACCCCAAACCTATTATCTATATTGCATCTTCGGTCTCAAAACCTCTCAAAGCTATTACAAACCAAAGTCCTAAGTGACAGGACTAAAAGATACAAGATATGAAACGCATAGTCTTTTGTGTGATTTTTAACCTGTGGGATTAAAACACTTAGTACCTTTGAAGAATTTTGTCTGAATACATATTTGCTACATGAAGCTAAATTCATTACACATTAAGAAACATATTTTCCCACTACTAGATGAGTACAAATAAAGGTAACAAAACAAAAATGAATGGATTCACTCCAAAGCATACATAGCTCATTTTTCCAACAGACAAATCTGATTGTACTCTGTGCCAAAATTCAACAGCACATGCTGAAACGAGAATAATACTGAGCCTGAACTACTGTTGAAAAAAACCCCACCAGTCAAACCCCTTGCTCATACTACAGAATACTTACTATTTCACAAAGATGACTGAGAATAAAAGGCTATTAAATCAGCAAGAGAAATCACTAGCCATCAGGCAAAGGAAGTCCAAGGTAAATAAAAAGACATGCTGAAGCATCCTGCCTGGCATAAGATCACCAATGATTAAAAAAAAAAAAACCAACAAAAACCACAATGCACAACTTTTTTATACTTCAAAAGCAAAAGATAAGTCAGTTCTTACTTTACTTACCAGCTGATACACAAGCTGAGGTTTCTCTGCTCTCTCACAACACTCACATCCCAAGCAACGTACAACATACGCCTGCCAGTTCTGTACCACTTATGATGCCGCTTGTTGTTTTAAAGGAAGGTTATATCCCAACTGCTAGAAACTACCCATTTTAAACAGAGTTTTTAAAACAAGACATGTTAAAATAAATAGCATTTATTTAGTGTTCCTGAAGAAAAGACAATGTCCCAAGCTAGCAAAACCTTCAAAATCAGGTCCCTATAGCTTGATCCTCAGAGGCAGTTTGACTCACAAAATTTGCAAGAAACTGCCTGCAAGTTTTTTTTAAGGTGAAAACTTTTCAGAACAACTTGCCTAGAAAGTTTGTTATTAAACCCATCAGTTTAAAGTGCAGGTTTGGCAAGTTCTACCATAACCCCTTTAGCTGGAAAATGGCATATGCAAAAGCAATGAGGATTTATGAGGCTTTGAGAGGAACATGAAGGAAACCCAACCAAAAGTGATACATTTTTTGTGGACTGTTATCCCTTTAAACAATACTTAATGCTGTTTAAATAAATGCAAGGTTGTGCTGCTACTGAGAGCTTGATTCTCAACACAAAGAGCAGTTGCTGCAGACAAGCGTGGCTATGGTTACAAAAATGAACACAAAAGTTAATGCAAAAAGTCATCTCAAAAAAAGTTTATTAGCATGATTAAAAACATGTGAAGAATGACAGTAAGAGAGAAAGTAACTTAGCATGGAAGAATATCCATTTCAACAGTTTATATTCAATACGGCTTGAACTGAATGGATAACTTTATTGCCAGGTTTCACTTGATTTCTTTAACAACAGTTCACATTGTATCAGCTTCACCATTATTAGGACTATTGCTTTTGTTTGGATCTGATCCCTGTTGCAGGTAAGTATAAAAAAATATCCCCCATTACTGCTGGACTGCAGAATGTATTGTTGGTTTAAGAGCTGGTAAAAAAGAAATTCGCAACTGAAGAGTCTGTTTAAAAAAACCACCTTTTTTTCCTAATCGCACTACAAAGAAATACATTAGTATTTTGGCCTTTAAATTTCTTACATGGTATTTATTTAGCATGGCAATCCCCGAATTCCCTCCCTTTAAGTAACCATAAATCAAACTCCTCTTTCAGAGGCTGCTTCTTGGGTTAGATTCTGGAGATTCACTTCATACACGCTTACACTGGCTTGAGGACGAAGACAGCATCATCTAGTACATAGTAGTCATTATACATATCACCTTCACATAGGTATGGCAGTCTGGTGAAAGCCTCTATGGCAAAACCAGCTTTACTGAAAACTTCTGGCAGGCTATTCACCTGTTCTTCCCAAGTGTGCCCTTTGATTTCCAACACTTCTGAGGGCTTTTCCCACTTGCCACCTACTGAGAAAACAAAACAGTTTGTTTAAATTATAAAGAAAACTTTATTGTGTTGTATTTTCTTACAGAAAGCATATTATACAGATTATATTCCATTCCGCTCCAAACAGGAGGTTGACAAGCCATTTGTAGAGCTGTTGCCAGATCAGTTCAAGTTTTTGCCTATTGTTCAGAAGCAGCTCCTTCTTAAGATTATCTTTTGTTACATTTTTAACTAGCAGTTCCAAGACTGGCTGAAAAGTAACTTCCACTAGTGAGGCTGGTGTTCAGCAGACATGGACAGACAGACTATTTAATGAAGATCTTTTCCAGCATTATAAAATTCTTTCTTTATGCCCACTGTCTGGCCAAAGACGGCTTCAGGTAATTACAGTAAATAGAGCCAGCAAGTTGAAAATCATGATTTGCTGTGAAGCTTCCATCAGTAGACCACCACATTATAATGGATGGCTACAGAAGCTTTGAATCTCCGGTGGCCACCTGCTAGCTGATATGGTAAAGACTGCTTAGGGTCACATAAAATTAAGAAACTGAACACCTGTAGCGTGCTGGAAAACGTGTTGTCATTTGTTATATCCAATGAAATAATCTGAAGGATTATAGGTACAACTCTCAGAAGTTCAAAATTTAAAACTCTTCACTCATTTTCCAAGTAATGTCATCCACAAATAACAAACGGTTTCTGGTTTGGTCTGTACCTTTAACCAGTTTGCTAAATGCAGTAGTAAACACCCTTCTAACCAGGAAGTTCTAAATCTTGTGATTCAGAGAGTTCTTCAACTCCAAACATTTCCTAAGTTCCTCTTCCTTCAAGCAGAACCATTTGCAGAGAGACACAAGAAATGGCATCTATCCACAAATTAAAAGAAGTGCTAATGCTGGCATTTGACTGGATTCTGTACGGTGCTGGTAAGGCTTTTTTTTAAGCTTCTTATATTTTCCCATGTAATAGCTTCCCATGTAATAGCAGTTAAACAAGATTGAAAAGGTTGTGGTTATGATTTGCAGCATAGCTACAAAATTAGAGCAGTAAAAAGTTTTGCTGAGAATCAAGCTAGTTTCTGCTATCTTCATGCAACTTCCAAATTAAACAACTGTTAGCAAATGCTTTTTCTTCCGAAAGTCTGAAATGCTCCTGTAATCTACAATTTCTGGGTCAAATCCTACTGCACTTCTCTGCAAAGAATGCTCCAGCAGCAGCAGCATGGTTTCAGCGCAGCTGTGCTTGTTTGGGATGAGGGTTTGGGAAGTTTGGCAGACAGTATCTACATGAACTGAAGCCATGGAGTTCTGCTCTGCAAGGCCACCCAGAGCCCTAGAGTAAGGTAGAAAAGAGAAGTGGATCAACTGCAGAAGCACAAGCTACTGCCTTTCACCACACAGGGTGCGCAAGTACACCGACAACTTGTATTACTACAATCTTCAGACTGCTGTAGCTGCTATGGAACAGCTCTGATGTTGATCTGACACAGAAGTAGAGTTTCATTTTATTCCTGTAGAAGTCACAGACACTGAATCTGCTTGGATTTGGTCCATAAAATACTCAGCGAGAAAAATTATGAAGGGACAATGCTGATTGTCCACCGTGGACACACTTATAAATTGTGTATCAGCAGTAGATTAAGAGACTTCAGTTTATTTTTCTTCTAATTTGTTATTTTCTAGGAAGTAGAAAAGGATGCTGTTAAGCTACTACCCTCATTTTCACTGCAATAATCCCAATTCCATTGTTCAAATAACTAAGCAGTTTATTTGAATATAATTAAATATATTAAAACAATATTTAAATTATGGATGTCAATAAGGCCTTAAAAAAAAATCTCCCACACCAGTCATATTAAACCATACATTTCAGTTTCTTAATTAGAATTCTCTTCTTTGATTAACCTTCCTGTTTTCTCTGCACACATTTTTAAATGTCAGAACTAACAAGCAGTATTATTATCCTTAGAAACCCAGAGTCAATATATGTGATGAAGTGGAAGAATGTCTAGGAACTACTACAAATTCTAATCAATGTTATGAAATTGCTAAACTACAAATGTCTCCATTTACAACATTTCCACTGCCTGCCATCAGGCTGCCTCACTTGACTCATCAGGAACAGTGGAGGAGAGAGAAACCCTTGCAGAACTACTCCACTGAGCATCTAGAGTTAAGTCACACGACACCCACCCCCCCCCCGCCCCTTACCACCCCCCAAATCCCCAAAACACTCAGGACTAAATCCGAGGCAGGGGACTACATGAAGTATTCTTTTGGTCTTCTCCAGGACCAAAGGAGACATTCACATTATTTTAGACACATGAATCTTCTCCATACTTTTTCAGAAAAACAGAAAGCTAAGCACATCACCACATAGGTAAAACTGCTAAAGGAACACATGGGAAAGCTGTAGGAATTATCTAAAAGAAAAGGTTGCTTGAAACAACCTTAAAAATTTCAAGTTTGAAACATGGTTGGTTTTCCTCCTTTCCTCCCACCTTTTCTCAAATGAACCAGAAGTAGCTTATTTTCTTTTTAGATTGTGCCTTGCTTTTTAACTGTCCCTCACATTTCCAATTGTTTATTCTCAACAGGTGCTGCAGATACCTGCCAAGTCACTGTAACACAACCCAGATTTCAGGAAGCTGACTACTCCACGCACACTGTGTTCCTAACATGCACTTTCTCTGCCTCTGGATGCTCCTCCTCCTCACCTAACGTTCTATGGTTTCGCTTTTTAGCTAATGAACATGAGGATTTGTGTACTCCTGGATGCACAGATCATCAGAAGTACAAAGTACATTTATTATCAGAAAATAACATTTCACTTCAGATCAATGATCTGACTGTAGATGACAATGCTGTTTATATCTGTGGAATAGCATTTTCAAATTCACATTCACCCCGTTCTAAACAAACAGGAGATGGGACAGTACTAACGAAAACAGGTCAGTTGATCATTCCTTCTTAATGAAGCACCTTAAAAGAAATAAATTATCTTTCCTAAATACTCTCTTTATTTACACTTTCAAGAATGGCATTTAAGATAGAAATACCAACAAAACCGTTAGGAGTAGTATGACTATATTAAAATATTAATAGTAAAACCATGGAGGGATTCTACAAATAAGCATCTTAACCTCATTTGCTAATTAGACTGTTCTGTCATATGATGCAAATGACTCTAGAATTCTACAAAAGAAAGAAGTTTTGTACTCATGTTATCTAACCATACTCTACATCCTCTTACATAAAGACTTTAATGGCTATCAGAAAGGGAGTATCAACAGAAAAATGACAAGTAGAGAAACTGACATTTAGTGGAAGTACGTGCAGGAGAGTACAGGGTCTCAGAACTCGGGATTCACTGTGCCAACTTGGGAAAACAGTTTTGGTTCTGAACCTTTGTATCATTTGCCTTCTAGTTAAGAAAGTGATGAGACTTCATGAACTACATTTCAGTTTTACATGCCTAAAATAGAAAAAAACAACAGCTAGCTAGATTATTACTTTCCCTATACTCCTTCCTCTATCTAATTGCATTTCTGAACAAAAGCCTGTAAGGTTTATTCAGATATTCCTTTATGAAAGCAGAAAACTGGATGCTATTCTCTGTCTACCCCTAAAGGAAGGGTTCATAACAAAAAAAACCAAGTCTCCATTGCCCTTGCAAACATTCAGGGAAACAAAAGAAAAGTGATCTCACTAAGGAATTTAGACTGAAAATGAACCAGAAAATATTGATGGGTATAAGGTTTTTTAATTCCTCAGAGGAAGGGAGCTGAAATGCAAAATCTTAAGAAAATTATGTGAATCAGAAAAACCGTCCTTTATTCTAACACTCACTTTTAATAAAGGAGCAGAGAACCAGAACAGCAATGGAAAACTCATCTTCATGATCATCGCCTCATCCTTACTGTTTCTATACAGCACTACTGTATTCACATTCTTTGTAGTCTACAAGGTAGGCTCAAAGTGATTTTTCTGATTTTGTTCATTTTGTAAATCTAAGCAGTTTTAACATTTCCATAAGGAGAATAAAAAGACATTCCTAGATTCCATAACTTTTATGATTAAGTTTTAAAGAGGTGGTTGGTTGAAGTTCATATGCTGCACACATCTGCAAACTCTTGCGTGGCACATACCTGTACTCTCAATAGCAAACACATTTCCTTTTTTCAGTAAAGTTTCTAATAGAAAAAGTATCCTAAAGTTAAAATTATCCTGACAGTATTAATCAGGAATTTGGAGATTATCTGTCAAGGCACACTCAAAAAGCAAAACTAGAAATTACCATCATAAGTCATCAACTCTCTGGATTAGTTTCCAGTAAAAGTAAAATAATTTAAATTTAATGTCAAAGTATTTGTGAGCTGCAGTAAAGTTACTGCAGACTGACTTGACTTGTGTAATGAAATTCTATTCAGACATCATACATATACAGAAGAGAGGCCTTGGTAAACTTTAAAAGTGTCAGAGACTTGGAAGAAGTTTTATGCTTATAGGAAACAAACACATTAGAATGCACCTGGTTAAAAGTTACATAACTACTGGATATTTTTTTTTTAAAATCTAGAACAAAATTTGTGTTTAGTTAAAAACAAACGCCCAAAGCTGCAACTGGAATCTTTACATAATAACGAGACTTTGACATGAGAATGAGGACTTCACAGTCCTAAGTGGTATGATACGGTAAAATGGTTCTTTGCTGTAGTGATCACTGTCTAAGCATAAAGACAGGACAGTCTTTTTGATTTTTTTCTTTAAACTAGGTGAAGTAGTATAGTGGGAAAAATTAATCAAACCTTCTTCAGGGGAAAAACTGATATCTGTGATGCCACTGGTTTATTTTTGAGAATTGGGTAGTGCTTCAGGCAGGTCCCACTGTACCCAAAGCAAAAATACTTGCAACATCTACTACCAGAAGCTGAAAAAGGCCTTATACGCTTGAAAACTTCCCTGATTTTTCCAATGGTATAAGCTGATCTAATGAAAGACTTTCATCTACAAATTGTTTG